ACAACTTGTCGTTTTCTCGTTCGCAAACGTCGGAAATTCAGTTTGAGCCGCCATTTTGTTTTTCTGTACTAGCAGGATATGAGCTAATATCCTGCTAGAAGAGAACCAATCAGATTGCAGAATACCTCATATCCAGACCATGTGTATATAATAAAAGACATTATTATATGACAAGCATCACTTCCGGTAAAATGGCGGACTGTGATTGGCTGAGAAGCACTTTCAACGGTCCATTATTTTCCCGTAATGGACCGGCGGTCCATTACGTAAAAACAAACGCATGCATTTTAGCACAAAACAGGAAAACTAATTGAACATTTGAAAATTATAATTTAATTCGTTATTAATAAGATATCTGCGAATGGTTTTTAGTGGAAAAGAAGGAATACAAAGAAGAAGCAAAAAAGCCCCCGTTAATTTTTCTTGGTGGCTGGAGTATTATTTTACTGGTGGCCGAGATATTATTATATTGGTGGCATAAAGATTAAATCCTGCAGATATATTGCAGTTTCATTATTATCTATGTTAAAGTCTAGTAAAGACAAGAAGATCTACTTCGCTGAATTATTTTTAATCTAGAAGATCTACTTCACTGAATTATTTTTAACAGGTAACGATTTCCATAAATGTACAGATAAAAAGAAAACATTTAAATCAGTTTGTCCACGCCTGTTGTTAAATTTGTCTGCAGTAAGTATAGACAGTACATTCTTTGGTTAATTTATATGCCTTCCTGAATGAACATGCGGAACTGAACCAAAAATATCATGGCTCTTGTTTAAACAATGCATCAATCTTTCTAAGCAGCTGGGACATTTACTCGGGCTAATGCATGTTAAGGCTATAGGTTACCACCAGACGATTTTACGCGTCCACAGATGACAATCTCTTATTTCCCAAATTTTCACAAACACATTTTTAATGTTTTTTAAGTTGCAATAAAAAGAGTACATGCGGGAAAATGTCTGGAGAGATAAGAAACAAAATATAATATTAAGATAGGTAGATAGATAGATAGATAGATAAAGTATTAAACTTAAGAGACTCGCATCCTATATAGGCAGCTTGCGTGTCGACTGAATAATGTTAAGTTGTGCAAATCACTCCTAAAAAGTGTTTTAAATATTTTTGTGACTTTTTTATTTTTCAAGGATTTTTATTTTAATATCTTCAAAACTTTTTTTCCCCCATTCTATTTTAAAATCACTCTTAAAAAGTGTTCGGAGATAAAAAAATGTTATTTTTTTGTGATTTTTTAAAACTTTTTGTTGATTTTTTATTTTGATTCTTTGTGCTTTTTTTTAATTGAGGGTGTACGTGATTTAAATCAGTGACCGTGATTTGCCCATCGGTACAAGTATACTTAAAAGTTACTTTAAGTTAGATCGACTAACCGTATTAAAAATTAGTTCCTTTCAGTTGCGTATTTATACATGAACTATACAATTATTAAAATCATTCTTATAAATTTTACTATAGGCTATTAATTGGTCTTAAAATTAGGACTAAAACATTCCTCTTCCTCGCAGGCATATTTCTGACGAGTTCACAGGAGGCAATAAGTCATACAGACATATATATCAAGGCATTTATTAATACCATGGAGTGGTGGGGTATTTGCCCCACTGGGCCCCTTCCTCTGCCCCACCACTGAGGAAAAAAAATGGCCTATTGCCCCAAAGCCAGGGCTCTAGGACCTGTATTGAGTAAATGAGTTTAACATTGAAAAGAAGTTTAAAAAACAAAATTTGTTGGTGAGCATACTTAAACTTATGTTGTGTATGAATGTTTAGCATGCAATTTATTACAAAATTCACCATTAGAACTTTGTTTTGAGAAGCGGAGATTTAAAAAAAAATATGTTCTCAGAATGCAGAAATGTTATTTCAGAGACCCACATTTTAGAAATTTCCTGGGAGGGCATGCCCCAGACCCCGTAGCTAACTTTTGCCTGCGGTACTCGCCTTACACCTTCGGCGATCGCATACTATCGTGGGGGGGGGGGCAAGGAAAATGGACCCTTTGGCATGCAGTTTTGCCCCACCACTGAAGAATTCTTAAAAAATGCACTGATATATATACAGACATATATAAACTACTAAACTTAATTTCATATATATTAACTTATCGTACGTATAGTTTATAAGACACTAAAGATGATTATTAAGACATAACGCATCTCATATATAAGGGGAAGATAACGAGCATTGTCATTATTATCTATATTAAAGTTTAGTAAAGACAACAATTTCATTGCTGTGTGAAGATCTACTTATTAATTTACTGAATAATTTTTAACAGGTAATAATTTCTATAACCATGCATGTACAGATATACGGAAATTAAAGTGAGACTAGTGACCCCAAATATAATTTTTGGAATGTGTAATAATATTTGGGTCACTCTGAGAAGAAAAGTAACGTATCTTTATACTGTAAAAAATCCCATCTTAATCAACTTTTTCACTGTCAAAGTTCCAGATATAGATGTCATTACGTGAATTTTTGGTACAAAAAAAAAAGGAAAACTAATTTGCAATTCACCCAATGACATCATATCCGAAACATTTGACAGCAAAAAAGTTGATCAAGATGGAATTTTTTATTATAAAGATATATTACATTTCTTCTTCGAATGACCCAATTATTACACATATACCAAAAATTATTACTGTCAGATATCGATACGCTATACTTAACCCGATCATTTTTAGCAGCAAATAACAGGTAACAATCTCTAAGATCATAAAGTATAGCTGACGAGTTTTCTACAGAAGATGCATCATGCTGCATGCAGTACAGACAATTTTGCAAGGCACAAATGCACAAGCGCGTCATGTGCGAGCGCGTGATGTGCTGGCTAAGCGATCTGACCTTAGTATGGTCAACTTCGCCTATTACTTCAACATTTTCATTGTTCTACCTAGCCAGAATCCCAGTTGTTGCTTCCGGAGTTGTTCGCTCAATTGCATGGGATGGAAATCCCATATGTAATTGCATATGCGGTTTTTATAAGGTTCTTATTTAACACACAACATATTTTTTAGCGATGACTGGCGTTAAATTGGCAAAAGCTTTCGGTTTCCTGTTCATGATGGTCATTGTATGTTCTAAGCAAATTCCTGAAGAGCAACATTCAACCTATCCGGCCACAGATGAAGCTCATTTTACGAGTCACGAATACCACGACCAAGACCTAAAAGTTAATGTAGGAGAGAGGTTGATTCGTGCAGCGGCTCAACCGGTAGATTACCAAGGTGGCGCCACAATTGATAACAGGCAAGTGTTGTTTCACTTGAATACCGATGCACAAATTGCCAATCGTAATGACCTGAAGAAGATCACCCGAGAAAAAAGAAACGACCTAGATCAATTCATGGGGATGATTAAAGCAAACGAAATTTTTACTCGGAATGCGGGGACATTGCGCAACTCACCTGCAAAGCATTTCCGCCTTGACATGCAAGGGATGGTGAAAAGAAATGGTCGAGATTATCACAACATGCAAGTGCAAATGAATGGGAAGCGTAGTGGGAGTAGTACATATGCTAATGTGTTAGTTCCAAAGGATGCCAATGGATTCCTGGCCGATCGCGTTATTCGTAGGGCCTTTTACGATAGTTCCAACGGCAACGCCGCGGTGACGCTAGAAATTGGAAACAAAGTAGTCCAGGGATAGAACAGAAAATATTATTGCGCTACATATCATAACATTGTTGTAAACAACGCACATGATAACTTCGGGAACAACACTGTTCTCGTGTAATATTAAAGAATATAATAAATGTTGTAGCCTTGGAAGTTATTTGTCAATACGCGGTACAGTTAATTGGCATGTTCGTTCGTAAAAAGCTATTCGCAAAACTAATTTCTCGTATTGTCTCCTTGAAATACCTATTCGTTACCGGCCTCGTTCTGAATCACGGACAAGTTTGGTTCATGCGCAAGTTCGATTAAAGTGAACCATGGTTATGATTGAATTAGGTTGAATGGTAATGGCAATTAATTTTAAACCAATATTTACCATCCAAGTTGAATGGTTGTGCTGATAATATTCAAAATGATCTTGTGTTGATGTTCTTTTGAAACGATATTGATAACTCAGATAAATATGTTTGAATTAAAGAATTGGACTTCGTCTAAACCGCAAGAGCCTATCGGAACTCCGGCTTTTCGATGTAATTCGTGTGGTAATAACGTGTTTGCAACCGCCTTTGACGGTTTAGTACATGACGATACCGACTACCTTTTCACGGAATTTTCGAAATAGAAACAACAGTCTCTTATCGAAAACGAGCCTCTGATACTCACCGCCAGTACTCTTGTCAGCGGACTCCTTCCATTTCATCACTGGACCGAATGACAGTGCATACATACCAGACACACACTGTAAAAACAGATTGGTTAAAATAGCATCCCTGCTACTAACTCTCCAGATGATCTTGATACGCGGAAAAGTACTGGCACTAGTTGTCAAATAGAAATCCATTTTATGATTAAAACAACTGAATATCTCCTGTAATATACTTTATTTCGATTCCATATTTTTGTCAGAGCTAGAGTTCTCATAACCAAACATAATTACAAAATTTCAACTAGTTTCATAAAGAATAACGAGAGATATAATTGACTGAATACATCAAAATGGATTTCTATTCGGACAGCCCTTTCTGAGCGCTGATTGGCTAAAATACGAACACGAGATCACCTGGTCTTGACGAAGGGCTTTCGCTCGAAACGTCGAGTTTCTGCTTATTTTTTAAGGTAGTAATATAACCACTCAGCACAGCATTTTTACATTGGTACTACCTACACTGGTACAGACAGTTTTGGTTAAAATAACCAATTTGAATTGGTTGTCTTATATGCCCTTACTACAAAACAGTTTTTATTGGTAAATATAACCAAAAATTTATATTGGTCGAAAGAAAATGCATCTAGCTGAGACAATTATTGGTTATTTTACAGTGCATCATTGGACCGCTGATCGTAGCAGAGGTGCTTAAATTACTTTGAATTTGTATTCGAGTAAAAGTAGAAGTAATTAACAATAAAACGACTTGAGTAAGAGTAAAAAGTACTGGAAGCAAAACGTACTTAAGTAAAAAGTACAAAGTATCCTTAAAAAATACTTGAAGTACAAAGTAAAATTGTCTATAGCGCGTAGAGGGGGAGGGACTTCTCCAATGGATTGACATTGCGTGCACCGAATATACAATATTTCACGGCATGGTCTACTTTCCAGTCCCCGTTGAAGATATAAGGAATCCATCAAGTAAATGAATGCTTATATAAGTATAAATCACAAACGAGAGATCCCAGACACATGTAGAGGTCGTATTACCTATCCGAAATTAAAATAAATCAGAAAAATTAAACAAAAGTTAGAAAGTAACGAAATACTTCGCCACAAAATGAAAATAACGAAGTAAAACGTTACTTCTTAAACGACTTCATTCCAAGTAAAATCGCCACAAATGGTACACTGACCGAAAATTTTTTGGCGACGGGGGGGGGGGCGGGAGTTGTCGCCAAAATAATTTTTCCGGAAAAATTTTTTCGGTACTAGTCGGGCACAATCCCGAAAAGTCGGGCAATTTTCTTTCCGCCCCCCTAAATTTTTCCATCCGGTACGCCCATGTATAATTAGATAGCTCGTATCCATTGATATTCGTTTGCAATTTCTCAATATTTTTCGATGCAAATGGACAGAAGATATTGATATTGAATTCACTCCAGGATACTCAAGTACGCCTGAAAATGAAAGTCGAAAACATGTTTTAATGGCCCCCGATGGTTGATCGAACTTCGCTACAAACGATTATATACGACGCCATATTGATTGCATTAACTCGCAGAGGCTTCCTTTATTTAGCTCTTCCCATCACTCCTTGCGCGCTCACTTTTCCCTCACTAGAAACTTCATGTAAGCCTCTGCGGAGGAGAGAGGGTGTTGGGGCATCAATTTCCCGTTTGTAATACAAAATGACTGAAAATTGCAAATTTCGCAAGTCTATATTATACGCATTTTACAACATTTCGCAACGAAACTTTGGAATATTACTAATTTTGTGATGCTCTTTCAAGATGTGATGAAATTTTTGTCTAGATCAAAATTTAGTCTATAATGCAAATGGTCCATTGAACATATAAAACAGGTCTTAATACATATAAATGTTATATATAACTCTTAGGCCTGTTTCAAACGTCGCGCTTCTCATGTGCCAAACGCATTAAAAACAATAGATAATCAACTGAAATGTTTCATTATTTAATAAGTGAGTCGGTTTTCTTTGTTCTTCATTGGTATACAGCTATTCAATTAAGGTTGTCCACGAGCAAAGCGGAAAAGTCAAATACGAGCACGAAAGGCTGCTGGGAATCGTTAACAAATTAATGAATTCTCATAGCGATTCCCAGCAGCCTTTCGCACTCGTATTCGACTTTTCCCGCCGCTTTGATCGTGGACAACCTTACTTGAAATAGCTGACACGCCATGAAAGTAGAACTATATTCAACTTTCTTGGCGTGCCCGGGCGACTGATTTTCCACGTGATTAAAATTGGTCGTAAAATTGGACTGCAATGGAAAATGGCCTTTCATGGTGTATATCAGTGGCGAGCACCCCGCGCGCTTGCTCATCTTAGCTACTGATCTATATAAATACACTGTAGTGTGCCTATTTTTAGTTATTTGCGACTGGGTACGAGGCTGGGATATTGGCATTTTATTTCATCTGCGCATATATTCACTGCTTACTAATCTGTTCGGTTTGCACTCGAGTACATTTGTAGCCCGTTTTATACGGGAATTTCTATTCGGCCTTTTTGCCGTTTATTAGCCTGTATCTGTGAGCAGGCTTTGCGAAACAAACCATAGTCACCATACATGTATGTACGCTTCCAATTTATGGATTTTTTCGGGTTGGTTTTATACCCCCTTCTCTCTTTCTCGCGGGGTATTCTCATGCAGCGAAAAGTATATATGATTCAGAACGAGGCCGGTGACGAATGGGCATTTCAAGGAGACAATACGAGAAATGAATTTTGTGAATGCATGGCTGTTTACGAACGAACATGCATTGCGAACTGCACTGTATTGACACATAACTACCAACAGGGGCGGCGCTACAGGGGGTGTGTGGGGGGGTGGAACACCCCCCCACTCGTCAGCTAATCGGCAAATTGTTGTCTCAGTCGGCAAAAGTGGATTGGGCAGTCGGAAAATATTCGATCAACAGTCGGGCGATTTTGGTTTGCAATAAAAAAAAATCGGACAAATTATGTCAATTTTGTCTAAAATTAAGTTAATTTTTTGGAAAATTTTGTGATTTTTCGAAAATATGTGTTATGTTACGAAAAATATTGGTTGTCCGGAAAATTTTTTTGACCCCTAAAATGGTACACTGACCGAAATTTTTTTGGCGACGGGGGGGGTGAGGTCGGCAAAATAATTTGTCCGGAAAAAATTTTTTGACTCGGCAAAATTACCAAACAACAGTCGGCAAAAGATCACTCACACCCCCCCACTCGAAGAGGGTTAGCGCCGCCCCTGACTACCAAGGCTACGACAGCTATTTCTAATGTTTTTATATAGAAATTTGTAATGTTTTTCAAGTTATAAAAATAAGTCAACGGTCCATTATTTTCCCACAATGGACCGGCGCTCCATTACGTAAAAACAAAAGCATGCATTTTAGCACAAAAGAGGAAAACTAATTGAACATTTGAAAATTATAATTTAATTTGTTATTAATAAGATATCTGCGAATGGTTTTTAGTATAGGAAAGAAGGAATACAAAGAAGCAAAAAGGCCCCCGTTAATTTTTCTTGGTGGCTGGAGTATTATTTTACTGGTGGCCGAGATATTATCATACTGGTGGCATAAAGATTAAATCCTGCAGATATATTGCAGTATCATTATTATCTATATTAAAATCTAGTAAAGACAACAATTCCGTTGCTGTGCGAAGATCTACTTCACTGAATTATTTTTAACAGGTAACACTTTTTATAACCATGTACAGATAAATAGAAAACACAAAACTTAACACTGTCACTATGTTATTTTTACGATACTTTTTCCTTATAGATTTAAATTTTGTCCACGCCTGTTGTTAAATTTGTCTGCAGTAAGTATAAACAGTACATTCTGTGGTTAATTTACATATGTCTTCCTGAATGAACATGCGAAAACCAAAAATATCATGGCTCTTATTTAAACGATGCATCAATATTTCTAAGCAGCTGGGACATTTACTCGGACTAATGCATGTTAAGTATAGGTTACCACCAGACAATTTTACGCGTCCACAGATGACAATCTCCTATTTCTCAAATTCAGTTCACAAACACATTTTTAATGTTTTTCAAGTTGCAACAAAAAGAGTGCAGATGGGAAAATGTCTCGAGAGATACGAAACAAAATATAATATTAAGATAGATAGAGATGGATTTATTAAACTTAAAAAAGACTCCCATGGGCTTTGCACGTCGGCTGCATGAATAATGTTAAAGGACAATGGCAACAAAATTTTTTATTGTTTATATTAAAAGTGTTTCTTCATCTAACTATAAATATGATATTAATACCGTGTCAAACATTTTTGTTCAGGAGTTATATGCATGTTATTTCACTGTTAATTTATATATCGTCGGCCATCTTGGCTCGTATTTGCGAAAAATTATCTTTTGGGTAATATGACCCGTATGACGTAGATGGCAGGGTAGAATCAAAACAACAATATATTTTTGTATGGCGTGTATCGAGATTTAATACGTTTTCTCAAAAAATTAATGCTTTTGAGTCATTTTAATGGAAAATATTCACGAGAACCAAGTAGGAGAAGCGTTATCATACCAATATGAACCAGAAGTAGGAGAAAAACAAGCAATATTTTAATTTTGGGATAGGTATAAATATTAAAATATAGGACCGCTACATGCGTCTTGGACCTTTGGTTTGTGGTTTACTTATAATAATTTATTTAATGGATTTCTTTTATTTTCAACGGTGTATTGAATGTAGACCATGCCGTTAAATATTGTGTATTTGGTGCACGCGTATAATGCGTGCCGCGTGCGCTGTTTTGTGTCTTTTTATGCCAATCCATTGTAGAAATAGTATGCCGCAATTGAAGCTAGTATGTTCTGTAAAGTTATTACCTGGCAACGCTTCCCTTTTCAATTGTATTCTAAACCTTTCATTGCACTGTATTCGTTTTAAAAACTTTGGCGACTGTCCTTGTTCATACGCGCCTTCGGCAAAATGAAGTGAGCATATATTCTAGTCACATCGTGATTCGTGCATGGCGACGATGGTATTAATGCTTTGCGCTTATAGACCTTATACAGAATTCAATCAACGCTTTTCTCCTATATGGCCTATATTGCTGATCTACCGATTTGCCCTTTGGAAAATTGAAGAAACAGATTTCACTTGTGTGTTGGCTGTCACTATTACAACCGTAGACGGCAATACATGTTTTGCAGTGCACCTTATACGTTTTACATGAACAATCTAGATATTTTCGTTATTCAAGCCGTACTCAGAGCTGACTATATATAATATTTGCAATTTCGGTAATATATATATATTCCCACACGTGAATTTAGGGGATTTTACATAACAATGAAAATATTGATAATATTGGGAACTAACACTACAGTACATGCATATATTTACCTATATAAAATGAGAACCAAGTAAAACTACATGTAAAAATACATCACAACATATAACCAGATTATAGTTATTTTACACTTATCTCTTGTCTGGGAAAATCCCATACTGACCTTGAATGTCAATTTACTAAGGGACGGACCATTTGATTTTTCATGGGGGGGGGGCGCATTTTTGAGAGTGCTCGATTTTTTTTTGGACCTCACCGACTCTGCACGATTTTTTTTTATCGAATCTTGCCGCGTGCACGATATTTTTTAAATTTTTACTATAGCGTTAATACAATAATAACCACGTATGGTTATATTCCGGCTGAAGAATGTATTTGAATATACAGCATATAACCACAAAATAGGAAAGTATAGCAGAAGTGCATGTAACCCACGAAAATTTTAACTCGCTCACGCCATCCTGGCTAGTACAGCCGGAAGTTTTTATCAGGTTTTGATAGGTACAAAGTGCCGGTTGTACTAGCCAGATGGCGTGATTGATGACGAATCGCTTCTAATCTCACTTGCTTGAGTGAGACTTTGGTATACCTTCCTATTCTATGATATAACTATCACAGCCCATTTTATACTTGGCCAATTTTATACTTGGCCCATTTTATACGGGGCTATAGTTATTATTATTATTATTATTATTACTGATCTTTAAACACGGTAACCTTTCACATAGGTGATTTTCAAAGGGCCGTGCGGAAAATAAATGCAATATAAAAGAAGGAACTAATAAACTAAATTATACTTATTTACAAAATATACTTATTTACTTATTTACTTATTTACAAGATGTAATTATTTAATAGATGATGGACAGATTTTAAACTTGTTGATTCTCTTAGGGTTTTCAACAAGTTTACTGGGATGTTGTTCCAAAACGCTGCTCCTCTGTACGAAAAGCTATTTTTCAAGAAATTCGTTTTTGGTTTAGGTTGAGACAGCTTTAAATTACTACTGCGCAGTACGTAACCATTGTTTTCGCAAGTGTGAAATAGTTGTGTTACGTATTCTGGAAGCATGCCATTAATCGCTTTAAATGTCATAAGGAGATCTCGCTTTTTCAAAACTAAGTCAAGAGGTTTCCAGCTAAGTTTTTGAAAAATGTCCGAAGATCTTATAGTATAATCCGAATTTGTTATTATTCTTGCTGCTCGTTTCTGAAGCTTATATAATTTGTCTAAGTGTGTTTGGTTGTTATTTTGCCAAACAGTTGAACAGTAGTTAAAATGAGGCGCGACTAATGCGTTATACATAATTTTGAGCGTATCTAGGCCAACAAAATCTTTGGCTTTTCTTAACAGATTAATATTTTTTGATATCTTGTTGCATTGTTCTTCATTTTGCCTATTCCAGCTAAGTCTATCGTCTATAACTATACCCAAAGCTTCCTTTTTATAAACTCGTTCAATTTGATGTCCGTTTATACTGATTTTTGGCACGTGATCTGAGTTTTTTAATCGTTGCCGAGATCCAATAATCATATATTTGGTTTTTTCGTCGTTTAATGTTAGTTTATTCGCTGATAACCATTTTTGAGCATTTACTAGGTCTTTGTTAAGTTTGTATTCAATATCTATGGATAAATGCCCTTGACATGATAAAATTGTGTCATCAGCAAATAAATTAGAGTGTGTTGTTTCTAGGCAGTTTGGGAGGTCGTTTATGTAAATGAGAAATAGTAGAGGTCCAAGATTTGAACCCTGAGGTACTCCACAACGAATTGTTTCAATATCAGATTTACAGTTATTTAGCATGCAAATTTGCTTTCTTTGATCTAAATACGATTGGAACCATTTGAGCGTGTGGTCGCGTATCCCATAAGCTTGTAGTTTTGACAATAGAATCTGGTGATCAATCGTATCAAATGCTTTTTTCAGGTCTAAGAAAATAACCCCATTTATTTGACCCTGGTCCATTGATTTCAACCACATTTCAGTAGATTGTAGTAACGAGGTTTCGGTTGGGTGATTGCGACGGAAACCTGATTGATCTTTTACAATTATGTTGTTGTTATCCAGGAAGGTATTTAGTTGTCTACAGACTAATTTCTCAAATATTTTGGCGATATTCGAAATGACTGATATCGGTCTATAGTTTTCACATAAGGTTTTGTTTTCTGACTTATATATTGGAGTCACTTTGGCAAATTTCCAATCATCTGGAAATATTCCTGTCCTAAGAGATAGGTTAAACACTTCTAGGAGTGATTCAGTTATTGTATCGCCTGCTTGTTTTATTAGCTTAGTTGAGATCTTATCTAGACCTGTAGATTTTGCCATTTGCACATTTTGTATTTCTCTTTTCAGCTCATAGCTTGATATGCTATGAAAGTGAAATACATTTGTGACTTGGTCTATATATGACAAAGGATCAGGACTACAGCCATTGTCAGCAATGTTATTTGCTAATTTGGGACCTATAGAAGTGAAGAATTTATTAAACTCGTCGACTATGGCTTTATCTTGTGTTACATTTTTTCCATGGTCTACGCTAAGTTCATTAACAATTGTGGTTTTGGATTTCCTATTAAGCAGATTATTTAATGTATTCCAAACTGCGATTTTTATTCAGAATCAGAGAGCGATATTAATGAGCCGGGTGGGAAAGGGTATTTTTGTGACCCGTGAATGCAGTGGCGTAGCCAAACTATAATTTTTGGGAGGGCATATATCGAACGGCGAAGGCGTAAGCCTTTTTAGGGGGGTCCGGGGGCATTCTCCCGCGGGAAAATTTTGAAATCTGGAGTCCCTCAATGGCGATTTCCCGTGTTTCTGGGAAGAGATTTTGCATAATTCTGAAGATTATTTACTGCAGGAAAGACCTGATTTTTAATGATTTCTCAATAATGTGGATCCTTAATTTGACTCAACGAAGCTTACTTGGTCGCGTGTGAATAGTTAAATCGAAGTTTTAAAACGCATTTTATCCAATAACCACCATAGGCATTATTTTCTGTAGTTAGATTTAGGAAAGATTAGAACTTTTATAGACAATTTGGTGAACAGATGAGATTGGTAGTCACATGGGTAGTCATCGTCCCCCCCCCCAATTTCTACCCGGATTTCATCTTTTTACAAGGGCAGTCATTCAGCCTATTGGGGGTGGGGGCTGAGCCCCCCCCTGTCTACGCCACTGCGTGAATGGTCAATACTTGATCGTGTGAAATGCTTGATTTTACTGTCATGATCTGTGATTTGTTCTACAGCCGTGAGGCGTGATTGTCATTTGTCGATAAAAATGCTTCGTGAAATGGGAATTAAAGATGTCTGTTTCGTGAACTGTGATTTTGATTTGTTTATTCCGATCTATTTTATAATAGTGATAATGGACATAATACGCGATAATAATTTATATGATCGATCTCACGCGATTGCACAAGGGTGGAAGCTTCGGAGGCCTTTCGGAGATCGTA